GCGATGACATTTTATGTCTATTTCAATCCTGTAAAAGCGTTTTTAAATCCGTTCAATCGTTTCGGTGTTATCCATTAGAATGCAAATGTCGTAATTCCCGACCTTTCAGCATCCTCTTAATTATCGAAAAATTATGTTGCAAGATGAGGTGTCATTCGAACTTTAACGTAATACATTGTAGTATTACATATTACGATTGTTCCTCGGGAGATTCGAAAAAGAAATATACGTTTATCCTCGAACCATGTCGATTTGCGGAAGACGAGTATAACAATTAGGTGAGAAACAAAGCGCTCGGAACAATTAAATGGACGCGACGTATGGGTCGGACGGGCGCGCGTATATGGTATGGAGGGCAGCGCGCACCCACGCGAGAAATCCTAATTAGTTTTTCTGGTTGACAGAGCACGAAGCACGGTGGACCGTGAAGGCGTAGCGGAAGTGCCGGGGAATATTGGCAAATACATTTTGAGAATATCGTTATATTATATTTCGTCCGACTGAGCGGCCAGCAGGTCGAAACATGCGCGCGTTCGCTACTTTCAATTTTCTACGATAATACGCGTCGTCAATATAATAACGATGTGAAACGATGATAATGCGAGCGCGTGCGCACGTGACGTGCATCCGGCTGTGTATATATCGAGTAATATAATCCCGCGTGCACGTGTGTATGTGTATGTACGTGCGCGCGCGCTTTTATAACGCGGCTCTGACACGTTTCAAAAATTAATCCGCGCGTCGGCGCACGTATGCAATACGTAGTGCCGCGATAACGCGACCGGGTAACGTAATTAAGCTTTAAATGAGCTCGCCTAAGAAATGACGAGTCATATTTTAATGGGGCAATGTCTTGCGGTGAGGTAGATACCGCCATTGGGTTGGATGTGGATGAGAACTGATGGCCCCAGCTTTTTCCAGTTTCAACGAAACCAGCCTTCACCGTAGATTAAAACTAATTCCATAATTCTGGCACGAACAAAGAAGGCGCGGTCTTTTATCTTGCTTGATATTTATTAAGCCCCCTCCGAGTCTGCAATCTGAAACTCTGCACGCGTGCAGAACATATTTCGCCCCTCTCCTCCCTCCCACGTTTAACATTTCTTCCTGGCGAGGGAAAAAATATATCGCGTGTATTAATTTTACGAATTAAAGAGCTGGAGAGGAATGTATATATTTATATTTGATAGGATGCTTGTCAAATTGCAGGGGAGAAGTACAAGCAATCCGTCTCGACCAATGTGTACAAGGTACACATGAAGCTCATAATACGCTCGGTCGCGATGTCCGACTACGGCACTTACAAATGCATATCTGAGAATTTCCTCGGCAAAACGGACGGCGATATCAAACTTTTTCGTGAGTATATGACGTTCCCGCTGTTTGACGCTTTGACTGCCGCGTGTGTGTCCGATTGGATACACACCTATAAAGATTCAAGGCACCGCCGTCGATTTTAGTGTTAATTTAATACGCATTTCCAACTTATTACCATCTGCATATGAATCGAAAACACTTTGCATTGATATGATACAATCTTACAAGGGAAGTTAGGGAACCCGAAAATTCAGAAAAATCTGAAACTTTGTGTAAAAGTGGAGCAGTTCATCCGTAGTACAAAACTATTTTTCGTTGGTGCTCTATTCCGTTTTGAAGGGATGATATCACCCCTTGAAAAAAATCGGTTTTTTTCTTTCGACATGAATATCGTCGAAACTATGAGAGATAGAAAAAAATGTTCTAAATCAAAGTTGAATGGCTTAAAGTGTACTTTATGATAGTAATAAAAAAATTTTTTTTTAATTTTTTTTTAATGTTACCCCACCACTTCATATATTTTTTTAAATTTTTAAATTTTTGTTATAACCAAATTAAAAGTTATTTTAATACGAATTCAATCATGTGTGATAAAATTATTTTCGGTAAATATTGATAACAACGGACCCAGCCCCAATGACCTTGATCTTCATATATGTTGTCAAGGTCATGACCCTGAGTGATTATCAAGAGGTTTTAGCCGTCGCTCGTTATTCGTTAAAAAGTTATTAACAAAAAAAGTAACAAATATTATTAAATTATTATTAAATATTATT